CTACCCTATAAGGTAACACACTTAGCACATCGAGACGCTACTTTGGTGAGTACACTTGAACACTTAGTTAGGTAAAGATTGTATTTATTTTTCCGAACTATGTGCTCTGCACGCTTGGCTCACTGCCACCTCAAACATGCGCTCATATGTGGTCTGCATGCTTGGCCCACGGCCACCTCAACTATGTGCTCCTATATGTTCTTACGTGCTATGCATGCTGGCCCTACGGCCATGGCGGATGGGGCATGTGGGTTATCGCAACCCACATGCGCGGACTTGCCCCCGGCAAGTCGCATGGCGTTGGCGGATGGGGCATGTAGGTTATCGCAACCCACATGCGCGGACTTGCCCCCGGCAAGCCGCATGGCGTTGGCGGATGGGGCATGTGGGTTATCGCAACCCACATGCGCGGACTTGCCGCCGGCAAGCCGCATGGCGTTGGCGGATGGGGCATGTGGGTTATCGCAACCCACATGCGCGGACTTGCCGCCGGCAAGCCGCATGGCGTTGGCGGATGGGGCGTGTGGGTTATCGCAACCCACATGCGCGGACTTGCCCCCGGCAAGCCGCATGGCGTTGGCGGATGAGGCGTGTGGGTTATCGCAACCCACATGCGCGGACTTGCCCCCGGCAAGCCGCATGGCGTTGGCAGATGGGGCGTGTGGGTTATCGCAACCCACATGCGCGGACTAGCACCCGACAAGCCGCATGGCGTTGGCGGAGGGGGCGTGTGGGTTATCGCAACCCACACTACCCCATCCTATAATCTTCAGTTACCTTCATCCTTAAAAAAAAAATAATAATAAAAAAATAAAAATAAAAAAAAAATAAAAAAAGGAAGGTTGCATGCAGGTGTAGCATGGAGAAGGAGCAAAGACATCCATTGAATATTTAAAAGAAGCATGCAGGTGCATCATGGAGAAATCGACAAAAGCATACTAAATAAATGCAACAAAAGAGATGTACAGTGCAAGAAGCATCCAAGAAGTGACAATAGAGGAGTCACCTTGACCTCTCGACACTAGGTGATGAAGCGAAGGCCAGGGCAACGTGCGGTGTGTGGCAAAGGTACGGAGTAATGGCGTGACGCACAACAATGGTGATAATGGAAGGTAGCGGCGAGAGGTTGAGAAAGGGAAAGAATGGAGGTGGTGATACCGAATTCTACTTCCTTTAGGCATCAAGATACCTAAAAGAACTGGGGGACCTGTGATGGGGATATGGGACCCGGGGGTCCATTTTATTGGCATAGTATTGACCCAAGTGGGGGTGGTGATGATAGGAGATTGGCCCAAGTACTATTGGGCTAAGAAGACAAGGGGGCGTGGTGGCACAAAACGGAGGAGAGAAAAGGGATTTCCGGGGCTATACCGCCGGCCGGTGGTGGCCCACCGGACTCCCAGCGACGGGGCGTGGCCAGCGGGGGCGGTGCGCCTCCGGTCGGGCAGGCGACGCCCCACAGCCGTGGCCAGCGAAGGCCACTGGCCATGGGTTTCAAACCCCTACCCTCCCGCTTTGCAACATGAGGCCAAGACCATCAGACCACACCATCACATGAGTACCAAAGCGCGACAGCATATATATGATCGATATTTGCGGGCAGGGCAGCCTCCACCACGGGCCATGGCCGTCCATTGGCCGGTCAGCGACTGGCCGGCGGCGGGTCCTGCCGGCCACCTCAGGCCGAGGCGCGGCCAGCGGGGGCAGTGCGCCCCCAAGATTGTCAACGGCACCCCCCCCCCTTCCCGAGGGGGTGCTGGGCGGGTGCGCCGAGCATGGTGGACCGGGGTGGTCTGCGCGGGAGTGTTGGAAGTATGGCGAACGTGCCCGCTTGCGTAGCGATAAATGGGGAAGTGGGGATGGATTGCATGGAACACGTGGACGCTAGAGGAGGAGAGGGGTATGCTATAAATAGGGGTCCTGGATCCTTAGCAAAGGGGGACTCAGACACGACAAGCACTACGGTCTAGTGGTCTTGATCTATACTTTCAACCCAGCTACCTGGGTTCGATTCCTACCAGTAGCATAGTTAGTTATAGCCCACCACGTGGGCGCGCCCCGGGTAATAAAGTCAGTACTTTCATACCCCCGTCCTATGTTCCTATACCCGATTTATGATGGACCCGGTCCCAATAAAACCATCAAGTTGCTTACATAAGCCATAAGGGGCTATTTAATTGAGTTGGTAGAGTCCAAGCTTAATGATCACTTGACAATGGCAAGACTAAAATATTCTATTTGGAAAATAAATTTAAGAAAAAATTGTATTTTTCGTCTATAAGTTATAGGGTAATTGTAGAATTTGTCAATTAGTATTGGTCATGTTCACTTTTTGTCCCTAAGTTATAATTAGCGTTGGAGTTTTTGTCATTTTGTGCTCACTTTAATTTTCATCCCTGAATTATACTAAAATTGTAAATTCCGTCCCTAATGTTTTATTAGTAAAGGGACGAAAACTGCGATGTCAATAATAACTTAGGGACGAAAGTGAGTATTATCAACACTTAAGGACTAATTCTACAATTACACTATAACTTAAAGATGAAAAGTGCAATTTTTCCCAAATTCAAATATATCCCTATTTAAGAAATCCTATATATAATAAAGCCATATGGTCTTGTGAAAATTAAATGGTGATAATCAACATTTAATTTTCACAAGACCATAATAATATTGTTAATTATAATAACAATAACAATAATAATAATAATTGCAATAATAATAATGATAATAATTTCCACTGACAGTTTCTAATTAATATATATATATATATATATATATATATATATATATATATATATATATATATATATATATATATATATTATTTATTTATTTATATATCAATTTCTACTGGCAAATTATTGTGTGAACGATGGTCCACATAATTGTATGGATCATGAATATCAAATACATTTTTAATATATTAAAAATACATTATTTTTATATTGAAAGTACCTTACACACATATATAATGTACTCTTAGTATATTTAAAATATATTTTTTATTGCATGTAACTCCAAAGTTCATAAGTTTGAAATTAATATATGGCATAGCTAGGCGGCCTAATATTTAAGATTGTTGATGTGCATATTGAGGACTACGGAGACAAAGATGCGTTATTCGTGGATTCATTGGATACTATCCAACAACACTCTCCAACTTAATTGACGTGAAGTAGGTTTAGTAACATTAAGATTATATATATATATATATATATATATATATATATATATATATATATATATATATATATATATATATATTTATTTATTTATTTATTTATTTATTTATTTATTTATTTATTTATTTATATATCAATTTCTACTGGCAAATTATTGTGTGAATGATGGTCCACATAATTGTATGGATCATGAGTATCAAATACATTTTTAATATATTAAAAATACATTATTTTTATATTGAAAGTACCTTACATACATATATAATGTACTCTTAGTATATTTAAAATATACTTTTTATTGCATGTAACCCCAAAGTTCATAAGTTTGAAATTAATATATGGCATAGCTAGGCGGCCTAATATTTAAGATTGTTGATGTGCATATTGAGGACTACGGAGACAAAGATGCGTTATTCGTGGATTCATTGGATACTATCCAACAACACTCTCCAACTTAATTGACGTGAAGTAGGCTTAGTAACATTAAGATTATATTCTGGAATTATTAGTTCTCATCTTTTATTGATTACACACTTAATTCGATAGTATTTGGAGGAAAAAATCAATGTTCGAACTAAGATTGTGATTTTGGTCTTTAAAGGTCAATTGTATGTTGCTACATCTATTTATAGTTAGAAATCTCAAAGGTCTAAAAATTTTGATATGTAGTGACTCTAAAATTGTAATTCAATTACTATTGTAGTTTACTAACAGGGCGTTTGGTTGGAGGGATTTTAAATTCCCTTCCCACTTAATTCCCACCTAATTCCAAAGGCCATTAAATTCCGTAGTTTGGTTGGAGAGAATTGCAATTCCCCCATTTTCATGGAATTAAAATCCCATGTCCCCCCCCCCCCCCCCCCCCCCCACCTCCGGTATTTTAATTCCTGGGAAAAAAAGATAGTAATGAGTCAAAATTACCCCTTCCTTTTTTAACCTAAAATTAATGTCTAACAACAATAATGGACATTTTTGACTTTATACTGCTTATTCCCTTTCAATTTCCATGTATACCAAACATTGGAATTAAAATTCCCAGTAATTCTATTCCTGTCAACTGGAATTTAAATTCCCACTTTATTCCCAGTAATTCAGCTCCCATGAAATTACAATTCCTTTCCCACATAATTCTCCCCTCCAACCAAACTACGGACCTTAAATACTATGTACTAAATTTTTAATATAGTTTAAGATTTGTAGTAATCACCCACCTTAAATATTATTTTAATTGTAAATATATTTATGTTCATAATTTTATCATAGGAATTCACACATAATAATTATTAAATAACAAAAATTTTATATATGAATAAACCTCATATAGAGTATATTTTTATAACATATTTTCCGTGCATCGCACGGGACAAATACTAGTAAAATTTAAAAGTAGGAATAAACTCTCCCAACTTGTGTAATCATCAAGCTCAGTAAATTTAGAAGAACAACAAGTGAAAAGACTTCAACATTAAAAGAGATATTTAGAGAGTAAAAAATCAAATCTTAACCATTTTTAGTACATTAGATTTCTAAGAGAATCGTCCTTAATTTGCGAACTGTAAACTTGTGAAGGATTACACCGTAAATACTATATAACTGCACTGCTACAGATCCCAGATATGCTTAGAAGACCTTGTAGTGCAATCATATCCAGGTGCAGTGCAATCATGTAATAAATGCAGTGCAATCCATCCTTCACAAATTCGCAAGTTAAAGTAAGTTCTCACCTGATTATGGACCTAGTAAATTAAACGATTCTAGACAACTCAACTAATATAAATTCATGCAGATCAAGCAAGCAGCACAACGTTTAGCTTTCAAGAATCCAAATCATGTCCAGTCAACACCATCCATCCCAAGTCACTTTCAAATCTACAATTTTCATGTTTCATATATTGGGAAACATGATTCAGGTTCCCTCTATTTAGTATTTACATCACAGACAAAGAATATCGACAACAAAAAGGAGAACAAAGGAATTATGATCGCCTATATGGCTGGCTACATGTACACACTAAGTTAGCCGCTGAACGATAGAACAAATAACACAACTGGCACATTAAATCGAGCTAGTAGACAGGTAATGCAAGTCGTTGTCACCTCACCCCAGTTTCGGTTGCTGAAGGTACCTTTGTTGGGTAGTTAGACAGTTCAATATCGATGTCTGACAGATCATACGGGAGAGAGTTTGTGTTTGATGCATCTATAATGAACGAAGAGTTTATTGTCTCGGTTTTTGCTGTATCCATGGCAGCAGCGTCTGCATTTTGGGGGCTACAGCTGCCAGAAGATGAGACACTCGGCAACTGAACATCTTCCAACTTATTCCCAAACATATGCTGCTGGTTTCTTCTAACCGAGTCCATCTCTATACCTGTCGGGACAAAAGTCCGTGCCCGGTACTTCTTTGATCCTTCTTCGCCCTCGCTATGGTTGTATAGTACATAATCATGATAAGTAGGTGCAAACTACATTGTAAAAGAACAATAAGAATAGTTAGAATATGAAATGTTAAGGCTATGTTTGGCATAACTAGTTTAAAAGCCAGTAGTTACTAGCTTATTTTGAAACACTACTTAAGGTAGTTTATAGTTTATTTGTAGCTTAAAATAAGGTGGCGGTTTCAAAATAAGCTATTATATTATGCTCCCCATGTTTTACCAAACAGAACTTATAACTTATTTATAGCTTAAAATAAGCTATAAGTTCTAAAATAAGTTGTACCAAACAGAGCCTAAAGCTGCACAAAAACAAGAGTAAATGTGTTAATGCACCTGATGCACGGTGTCATGGTAGAAGTCGTTTAGTTTAAGAGCATGAGCAAGGCTTGAGCTAAAGCCACCAGAAGCGCCGATATTTGCTCCCGCATATTCCTTGTATGGAAAAGCATAAAGGTGGCCACAAGCTGCAATAAGCATCTCAACGCAAATTATGAAATCTTGAAACTTTGCAGCTTCTTCTGTATCCTTGATAAATCCAGACTTTGCAGCAAGAAAAACCAGAACACCCTGACGAAAGGAAGTTAACCAGTCAGTGGAGCCGTTAGTTAACACAATTCTAAATAAATAATAATAATAAAATAAAAGCATAAGCAATCAACTGCATGTAGGAATTCGTTGCAAATTTGTCAAAATTCTCACAAGAAAATGCTGCCCGGGCATGAATAAAGGAACTTGTTTTTATACTAAGAAACCAGTAATATCATAGTTAAGTAAAACATCACTCTTAGTATCCTAGTAAAGGGTAGATTATACCTGCCAGTACGTAAGAAAAACTACGGACTTGATCATGACGAACTTCGGAACAGGATTATATGGCTGAAGTAAATCTCTGCATGCTACGTAAAACAATAGCAATGCATATAGAGCCACCGAGTATGAGATGGTATAGATAATGGTGAGATAGAGGTACGACTGCCTTGGATTGAAATTTCCATCCTCGTATTTTCCTTTTGCATATAGTACAAATGTAACCGCAACTAAGATGGGCTTGAGGATTACAAACTGTAAACACCCCTGCTTACACCTCCGTATGAAGCGCCTGCATAACACATGCCATAAGATAGCTAATAACAGAAATTTAAACAACCAATACTATATAGGTAAAACAGAAAATACAAATGATCTTGTATCACACTATATAGTTAGTACCATCCAGACACAAAGTGTTTCCTTGTGTAAGAGACTCACCCATCCAATGGAATTGGAGGAAAGCAACATGTCATGAGACAACAATTAGGCTTTAGAACTCGACCACTCAAATTTAGCACAACAGCTCCTGGACCACCTACCCATGCCAAGCACAGTGATAGGAAATTATATATAACCCAGGCTTCATATCTGAAACAGAAATTAGAAAGTCAAAACATAAATGCATGATGCAATCAAGAATTGTGTCACATAAAATGGCAGAGATTGTTGGCAATGAAGAAAACAAGATGATCATAATATGGTTGAAGCTGAGATGAGGTGCTAAGATGGATATGAGAGAATACAAGGATCTTATTAGATACAGACTAAAACAGGAAAGCATAACGAAAGGGATGGAAACAATCAAGCTGCATGATTGAGTAGCAGAAGCTAGGACTAGCCGACTAGGCGATATAGAGGTAGACTTCCTTTTTTGGACATTATTCACCATGACAGAATGTTCAAGCAGTCACAGCCAAACTTGTGTTGGAAACTGAAAACAGCTAAGTAGAGCAATAGAATCCATATAGCCTACCCATACAAGTTTGGGATTAAGGCTTAGTTTAGTAAAGTTAAGCTAGCTAATTAAAGGGCACATGTGTGTGTGTGTGTGTGTGTGTGTGTGTGGGGGGGGGGGGGGGGGGGGGTGTTCATGGGCGGTTTTTACATATTTTTGTAGCCAACCCATGTTTAGCAATTTAGCAAAAAGTAAAATCCCAACCACCCACGAAGTTGAAAAACAATGCTGGTGCGGTTTTCTTGGGTTAAGACGTAGGAGTTAATATAAACATACACACAGACACAGACACACACACACATACAACCTCCGTCCCACTTAACTTTTACTACTTTCACTTCTGGTCCATCCCAAAATAATGTATGCTTTCCTAATTTAAAATGCCACTAAATTTTACTTTTCCTTATTTACCCTAACTTTTTAGGTGGGTCCCAATTCATCTCTTTTTATAAGGGCAATTTTGGAAAGAATAACATATCTTATATCTGTTTTTATTTTGTTAAAAATTGTGCCAAACTCAAAAAAATCCCCTTACACAATGAGATGGAGGCAATACTAGTTGATTTGGAAGTTTCAATAAGTTTTGGTTTAATAATTTTTATAACCATAAACACCCGGTACATTGTTGTTTATAAAAAATGTAACCAATTGTTATTAGAATTAAACAAAACCACAATTTATTGGGAATCATAATGTTACTTTAGCAATTCTATGGTTTTCTTTTAACTCATTGGGTACGTGTAGGTGAAAACGAATGTAAACATTAACTTGCTTTCAGGGATAATTGACAAACGTTATCAAATCAGCAAATGTCAAACCCAACTTCAAGGAAGAAGCAAGGTAAATGATTTTGGTGGTATAGCATGTCCAAAGCACCTTAATCATTTTCATCTATTCACTTTTATAATAACAACATCAATGATATATTATCCTGACTTGTCATGTGACTCATGTCTCCTATCATTTTTCTTCACATCCATATCCTTGCTTCACAATATGATACTTCATAATTACCATTACAACATAAACTATTTCTAATACCCAATGTTATTACTTCTGTTATTAAAAGAAATCCATTCATGGAATCAGTGGCTAGAAATATAAAACTTGCAATATTTTTCCATCAACTCTAATGAAATGCAGAGACAACATGAATAGATATAGAGGATCACATAGTAAGGTAGAACAGGTACAGCACCGGAGAAATTTATAGCCAAAAAATTTCAATATACTTACATTTCGCGTATGGAATTAAAATATATTGCATTCTTGTCCAGAACAAGTGACAGAAAAGACATCAGCGCATAAACCTATAATGAAGAATGATTTTGGAATGGTTAAAACAATCAATAGAAAATTCAAATCCAACAGTAGTAATAGTTTTCTTATTATGCCATATAGAGTTACAAATTCATAGTGGCCCTTGGATATCAAAGCTCTAGTTGGTATTACTGTCTATTACATTACAAAACTGATAAGATAAATGTAATAAATAATTTAGCTAAAAGCTTATAAAAATACAAAATTTCATATAAATGACAGTTAGGTCATTATCCCTGCCAAATACCAACTTCATAGAAATCCTTGCAGACAAGCGACAACAATCCTAAAGCTACTTTGATCATGCTACTAACAGAGTAACCAGAATAAAGTTGATACCAAGCAATAAAGTCTAGTGTGTCAGCAACCAAATCATCGACAATACTAAGATGACAGCACCGAGTTCTAGAATCTTCGAAGCCATGATTTACAAAGTTCATGCAACATTCTCATTCCCACATAATCTCAACATCCAGTAAAGATGATGCAATTTTTTAAAACCATAATGGTGATGGATGGTTTTAAATTATACAAGATTTGCCTCCACCAATGGCTCAAAGGAGGCAACCAATTGGCATTTCTAATTTCCACTCTATGCCATGTAATACCATGAGTGCTGTTTGCATAAATAAAAATCACTAAAAAATTAATTTTTTTTACCAGTTGAAGCAATCTAAGGTATAACCAGAAATATATTCTGAAGTAGGGCATGATAAAAGAGCTACAATCATATCCCCCAAGCAACCAGTAAGTAGATTAATCTTTTTTTTTTTAGTATTACTGACTCTATTACAATATAGTATCTGTCCATATATATTTTCTCAACCTATTGAAGCACAAAGAGTCGATGGGATTCAAACCTATAACCTCCCATTTGGGAGAGCCACCGTTATACTGCTTGACCACAAGGCCTTTGGCTAGATTAATCTATTATACACATTCATGATTAAACAAAACTGAGACAAAGAATGATTACTCACGGGAACCATAAATATGATCCGCACAATATATCTCTGATACGTAGGTTCAGTGTAATTCAAGAGGTGCCGATATATGTGGAAAATAGCCAGGGCAATGGCACCAACAGTACAAGGTAATGCAACAAGGATGTAGTATATAGGCCCCATTCCTTAAGCAGGCTACCAATCAACAACCACAGCCTTCTAAGGAACCTGAAAACATAATAAAAAAACACCCATTTCTCAACTCACTATGAGAAACAATCAATAATTCAAAAGCAAATCAAAGCACAATCAAGAATTCAAAAGCAAATCAAAGCAAAAAAAGCCTTATAACTTGCTGAATAAACGGCTAAAGCTACGCATTGAAAACCCACAAAACAGGAGACTTTAACTCTATTCCAACACTACAAGTAATAATCAATCGTGTGGCTCCCTAACAACAAGATAAGCAAGGTTCAACAACCCCTAAACGTTGGTAAAAATTTGATGATGGGATTCAATACTAATGTGTGAGTTGTTGAAAATTAGTTCAAAATCAGAGAAAAAACGGATAGAAGTAAAACCAACTTGGTGGACGAAATCGAGTGAAGAAAAGAAGACTGCGGTTCGGTTTGAGATCTGCTCTTCTGCTACTGCTGTTCCAAGAGAAGATTCAAGAAAGCACAGAGAAATTCTTTGGTGAAGTGGAACGCGCAATAATGGCGGCTTGCTTAACTCAGCATGAGCACAATATTGCCGTAATGCGAAGCGACGATTTGGGCGATCCCCAAGGCCGCGTTTCAATACTTTCCAGCGAAGAAGATAGTATAAATCATTTGTTATTTATGGAATATATTATTTTTCAACAAAATCATTTCTTTGTGGAAATAAAATATGAGAAATAAATAATGCTACAATAATTAATTAAGAAAATTAAATATAGCTTTTTGCCTATCTACCTGCCTACCATACTAATTAACAAATTGTTGATGTTATGAATAAACTTTATTTGGTAAATATCTATAAAAGTTTGTGGTTGGTTTGGAAATTTAGACAATATTTTTTGAAAAAAAAAAAAAAAAACTAAAATGACAAATTTTTAAAAGTATTTTATTTTTTTAGTATTGGACTGAAAGTTAGAAAAAAAATGTATCTTTGTTTTGTTTATTTTTCAAAAAATAAACATAAATATATTCTAAAGATATATTATAATAAAAGTAAATTTTTACTCCTAAAAGGTTAAATTCCTAACAATAAAACGAAATTTCTAGTGTATATATTAACTTCTAAAAATAATAAAGTAGTCATTTAATGATTTTTTACGTTGTACATCTTTCAGTCACTTAATTGTTGGTTTAGAGAAGTTTTCAAATTTATTTAAAATTTTAATTTTAAAAAATTAATATTGTTATCCTTTCTTTTTTTGAAAGGACTCTATTACATTAAATGACAAAATAGTGAATATTTAATGTTTAAATAATGTACTTTTAAAAACTGAAGATTTAATGTATTTAAAATGTACATTTAATATATTAAAAGGAATTCTATTATATTGATTCTCAATTTGTATTCCTTAAATTGTACTTCATGTGGCGGACACTAATTTGCTATTTTTTCATGTGGAATCACAATAAAGTGTCATTTTGTATTGAGAATAAAAGTTTGGAGTAAAAAATGAAAGTACATATAATATTTTCCTATTAAAAGTGTATATTATATTAGTGGTCTACCTTTTAATGGTATAATGATTGAGCACTATAAGAACTAACAAGAGATACATCAACTCAACAAAGACATGAGACTTCTATTTAAGTTTCAAACTTGTATGCTTACACTAGCCGCTCAGTTGATTTTTTTGTGATAGATGGTAGATAATGACATATGATCAAACTCCGTCAACGACAATTTGATAATTTAACCTAATGTTGTAAACTTCTAATGGGCATAAGGTACTGATTCTATCACCTAATGGACCACTGAGTCACAATGATTTACTTCTCTACTATTTTGTTGGGACGAATTTGTAAGGGACTTGAAAGCAAGAAAATTTTGTTTTTTTATTTATTTATTTTTTAATTTTTTGTTTTGTTTTGTTTTTGTTTTTTTGTGAATACGTTTCAAACTTGTATCCAATTGAGTAATATTGTGACCAATTAGAAAATAAATTTGAATTAAATTGGTCGTGGTAGTACACACTAATACATAAATATTCAACCAAAATGTGAACATGTTTCAAACTTGTACTCAATCGAACTTGTCCCGATATTCAACTATAATTCAACTCGAGTCTGACCAATATTCAACTAACATTTGAACTTTAGCTTAGCCAAAAAAAGAAAAAAAAAATGTCAACACCCTTATATGTAATCATATACAGTATTTTTTTGTTGATCGCATTCTTAACCTTAATTTTTTTTTTTTTTTTTGGGAAAATGATCAAATAAACCCCTAAACATTATATGAAAAGTTAATTAAGTCCTTAAACTTTAAAAAAAGTACAATTACACTATTTAACATATCATATTGAGGCAATGAGATCTAAGAACAAGTAAATTACCTGTAATTGCAAGTCATTTTTTATTTCGGCGAAAATTCGGCGACGGCTGAACCGTCGCCGGTCGCCATCTGTCAGAGAAGGCGACCAACTGGTAGTTGGCAACAGGCGAGAGTTCGACAGTCGCAAGTCACCGAATTTTTGCCAGAATCAAAATAATTTACTGGTTCTTAAACCTTATTGTCTCAAAATGATATGTTAAAGGGTATAATTGCACTTTTTAAAAATTTAAATGTCTAATTGACTTTTCAGATAGAGTTTAAGGCCTTATTTGATTTTTTTCACTTAAAAAAAAACTATTTTATCAAATTCAATTCTATTTGAGTATTAAATTTAAAATGGGTACTAATAAAAAGGTAAGACTGAATTTAACAAAAGAAATTGAAATACACTTAAAAAAAAAAAAAAAAAAAAAAAAAAAAAAAAAAAAAAGCTCTCAAATTACAAGAAATACTAAAAATATGTTTAAAATTTTCGTAATTGTTTAAGCGGAGTGAATTCATCAGGGCTTTCACTTTCCTGGTAGTAACATAAGAATTTCCATTTTATTTTGAACGATCGAAATAGAATGGCGGAGCAGATGCTGAGCATGGGAATCCTAATCGACATTGTTGATGAGGAATGGATGAGAGACACTCTGCCTAATGATGGTATCCCTAAATTGTTTTGTTAATTTTTACTTTTATTGATTTTAATCAGTTCGAAATGCGAATACAATCTGCTTTCTTCGCTTTGTGTTTGCAGATCTTACGCTCCCGCATGTGCTGCTTCCGCGAACCGATGATACTGAGGATGCAAGTAAGATTTTCAGTTAATTTTTAAGCTTTATTTAGAAATAAATTATGAATTTTCCTTCTTTTTTTTTTGAATAGTTGTTTATGCAACCTAGCCAGTGTGCTGGAGAAATATTTGTGAACTGTTATATACTCAGTATTGGAATGTTCATCTGTCTTTGAATTGGTTGTTCATATCACTCTAACTGAATGTCTATTGGGGCTACATAGTGTGAGCAATATTACTAGTTACTTGTTTCGAACATTTATTAGAATGATAAATATCATGTATAGGTCACTTTGATAAGTTTTTTCTGGTAATGCATACAACATAAATGATGGCCCTTTTCACTGCTCCAATAAAACTTTTTGTACCGTGTTTAAAAATGTTAGTACTTGTTATACACATTGGTGGTTAGTAGTGTTTGGTAAAGCTTATCTAATCAGATTTTTGAGATTATAGAGTAAATTATCTACTTTTACATGTTTGGAGCTAGGATTTAGATTATAGATTGATAGAGTGTAGTATTGTACGAAACTTTTTAATTCATTCAAGCTAGTAAATCCATAAGAGACACTGTTAGCAATTGATTATGGATTTTTCACAATTTATAAGTCATAATACATTATTATAAACTTTACCGGATAGAGCCCTTGTTTGTTAGATGGGGACTGTTACAAAAGCAATGATTTCAGCTTATAGTTCATTTCACACAAGATACAATAAATCTTTATGCTCCTTTGCAATGGTACAGTTGGTGTTTATTTGAGTTGATAATGAGGTGAAGTTGTACATTGCTTGTTAAGATCTTATAGGTCGAGCGGACTTATCCCAAAATTTAAATTTATTCTATTGTTCAAGCACGCTGTAATGTTTTCTTCACACCGTTCAACTTTAGAAAATGTTTTCCTTATTTGCATCTCATCATACTTTCTGGCTTTCTGCCCCTTTATGGCTTTACCATATAACTTGTTTGTGATGTAAAACAAAATTAAGAGTGATTATAAGCGCACATCATTCAACTTTAGTCTTTGGGTATGGATATGTCTCAGTCTCCTCTGAGTTTTTTGAGATTTTGTTCAGAAACTTCACTGTTTTGCTCTTGGAAATTGAAGACTGGGAGCATGTGTTGAACTTTACTTAAATATTTACGGTTCTTTGCTTCAAAATAAATGAAAAAAATACAATATACATCTGCTCCGTTTTCTCAGCAATGCCTATTGTTGAACACTTGAACTTTCAATAGAAAAATATTCAATCAAATGCTACAAACTTTTTCTTTTTTCAGATCAAGAGACTCAACAAGTTGAACGAGATACTTGGCATGATCTTGCATTGGGAAACCAATGAGAAACCAGCGAGTCAAAGTCTCATTGCCTTATTTGACTTATGGTTGAAATCATGTTGCTATGTTTTGTTTAAGAATTCATGTAAAACCGTGAAGTCATGGATGTTCCAATGATACATTGTCAGCCAAACTCTATTTGGCTGCCAATTGTCATTATTGTATGCAGTCTTTGTTCTTAACCATTGTTCGATGATCACTTTATTTTGACCTCCTTTCTTTATTTGATCAGCTGGCTGAGATCTACCTTGTAGGTGAGGTATGAAAAATAAAGACTAATGATTTTGTTGGACTTGTATGGAGTTGCAGGTTATATCAACTAGTCTGCAATTAAGTGGTTTTGTTGGACTTAGTATGGAGTTGCAGTGTAAAATAAGATTACTTTTAAAATTTTGTTCACTTAGCATTTTCTTCATGTTTTCCCAGGTAACCCTTCTACAGTGCTAACATTGAATTTAAATAAAAATAATTTTGTTGACTTGGTTTCATTGTTGACCTTTAAACCCTAGAGAAAACAAATACTCCGTTATCAACACCAACCTGACAGCCATGCTTCTTAATTTTGGTCAAATCCTTGAGAGCTTGAGAAGGATCATGGTTGAGAAGGATCATGGTGAACGCAAGTAGATTCAGGCCGGACAAACATTAACTTCTTCTTCACCTCCTTGCTTGATCTTTGCCTCAACTTCCATGACATATTGTGACCCATTCTATGAAGCTGTAGATTTTGATCTCTTTAAAACCCCTTGTTGCAGATTTCACAAACAAATCTATTGCAGCTAATAAGGTCTTGGGGGTCAAAGTACCTATGAGGTCCCTATACTATAGTATTTTGTTCAATTTGATCTTACCTTAATTTTGTTCAATTTAGTCCATGTACTTTTAAAAGTGAAACACTTAAAGGACAATAGCTCATATTTATGTATTTATTTTGGACATATTAATGTAATATATTGGTGGTAAAAATAATTAATTTTAAATATTTATAAAATAATATATGAGTTGGCATGTAAGTATGATGACGTGACAGATATAATGTCAGCGCTACATCAGCTATTGTCCTTAATTGTTTCACTTTTAAAAGTACTGGGACTAATTAAGCTAGAAGGACTAAATTGAACAAAGCACTATAGTACAAGGACCTAATAGATACTTTAAA